TACTCTAGCAACGATTCGACGGATACGCCACGAATCGTGGCTCCTCACGATGACGATTTAAAGTACCGTATCCTATATGATACCCACAACAGCCCACGCCATGGTTATCTCGGTCGTGAGAAGACGTAAGGCTCGGTGAGCCGCTATACTGGTGGCGCAAGTTGTACAAATGGACGAGCACCTATTTGCGCACCTATGAGACGTGTCAGAGGGTGAAACACTATCCGAATGCGGCGGCGCCGCTGGTAAGTTTACCGATATCTCCATGTGTTGGCAGTCCATGAATTTGAACTTTGTGTTTGGCCTGCCGAAGGACTCGGCGGGCAACACGGATGTGGTGGTCTGTGTGGGCCATTTGAGCAAAATGGTTCATCTCGCGGTAGTGTCCGACACCATCAACGGTGTGGGTACTTCGACGCTGTTTGTCGATTGTGTCTTGCAAAAACATGGACTCGCGGAGTTAATTGTCTTCGATAGAGACCCAACCTTCACTTGGGAAGTTTTGGCCAGGGTGCTGGGCAACAAGCTGACTATGTCAACAGCGGACCATCCGCAGACTGATGGTTAGACTGAGCGCGTGAATTGCGTCGTTGAAGACGTTCTTCGCAGCACCTGCGCTGAGATGCCGAAGCGTTGGAACGCAATGTTACCACTCGTAGAGCTTGCTTTGATTAATGCGGTGTATTTATTCTTCGGCTACACGCCGTTTTGTGAACGGGCTTGTTAATCCTCGCATCCCGATGACACCGTCATTTCCTGGCTCAGGACTTTGTAGGGATGAGTAGCCAAGCGGCTAGCCGATGTCAGCTTTCTCACTGTCCGTAAATAAGTCGATGACTTTCTGTTTACCAGACTGAGTGTCCAACGACACGTTCGCGATGCGATGGATGAATGCCAAGATATGCAGAAAGAATATGCAGATGGAAAAAGCAGAAGAAATGTGAAAAACTTTGAGGCCAGACACCAAATGATAATAATTCTCTTCACATGCAGTATCTGCTGTCATTAAGACATAGCTCCATGCACGGTTCATTGGACATTTTATGGTCGTGGCCAAGCGAGGCCTTGCTTATACGCTGAAGGATGCGCACCCACCTGGTGTTATATGTGGTCATGCTTAATCCATACCGGGATCCGGCACAAGTGATCGCGGAAGCGTTGGCGCCATGGCGGCGCTCGGCCACCCAGAAGCTGGGCCAGCAACCGATTCTGATCACGGAGTGCAACAATTTCGTACAAGGCGCTCCATTCTCACACGAAGTGACGTGTTCGCCAACTCGACAGCTAGGAGCCGCTCCAACAGAGCTCGATAACACCCAAAGTGAGGCAGTCGGTGCACAAAGTAATCCAGACTCACGACGTCTACCGCACAGCGGTCGGTGACCTCGGAAAGATGCTCGTCAGAGTGCCGATGACGAAGGACATTATCCTTCAACGCTCGAAGAGCAATCCGAGTCACCGGACGGCGATCAAACCAAGACGTCATCGTCCGCCGCTGACTCTTCTCGACGAGAATGGTGGCGTCGCATCTAAAGCTACGACCTTGAGCTGCTGTGATCGTAGACTCAGCCGTGTGAGAAACCACTAAGCCCGCGGGAGCGTGACGAATGATTCCATGTTTCGCAGAGCAAAAGCACGCAGAAAGAACGCGTTGGGCCTTGGGTTTGGCAAACTCAGGCGCTCAGCGCGCATGTCCACTTCCTTTTAGCTCCGCCGAAAGGTAAAGAGCAAGAAACGTTTCCAGTTCCGCTGCACCCATCGCGCAAAGAGCTTCTCATCATCTGCAGCAATTTCGTCTGGTGTGAGCACCGCAGGAATAGTTCGCATTACGGGTACAGAAGGGACCCTCCCTTTGAGCAAAGTCGATCGCGTACCGATCCATTGATTTTTTTGAGGTACTAAGAAGCGAGCTCGGAGAGCTTTCCGCTGGTCAAGCTCAGCTTGTGTAGCGGCCGGGGGTCCGACTACGTAGATGCCTAACGATCGAGTGGTCGCGTCTTTCGCTTCAGTAGCGGGATCCGCCGAATAGAAGTCGTTTTCCACACGAATGTCGTGGACCAAACGTGGATACGAGCGCATGAGAGCTGCCTTGTGGGCAGCCTTCAACTATTTCTCCTGTGTTTCACCGAGGCGATTAGTAGTAATACCACTGTCCCCGAGAGTCGAGAGGTTGGGGATCGGACACGATGTCCGCAAAGTGTGAGCTAGGCTCACGTCGCGCCGTTGACGCACCTCATCCTTATCGACTTCCCATGCGGGGAGAGGCGTAGTCGACTTCCTTCAAATTCATGACGAGGAAATCCCTCGCCCGGGGTGGGCGCGGAGTCTGGCGTTCGATTGCCGAGGGTGTAGGATGTGCTTCCCGTACGTACTGTCTGGAGATGCACCTTGTGCAGAAGAAGAAGAATGGATTTGCCCGCGGGCGCCCTTGGGACCAGCTAAGCTGGGTGTTTTGCGTGTCATAGACACAGGGATCATAGAGCGGAGAACGTTCAAAGATGCTCCTAAGGACGTAACGGTGTCTCAGACACGTGAGCCTCGTACGAGGCGACAGTTAAATGGGATTTGTGGATATTTACAATTTTGATGGAGTAAAGTATAACGGGGTCTCACGCCTCCTTGAATGAAAGGGCTTATCACATAAGATGGTAACCGTACATAAGTGTGGATTACACAAGCTGATGCAATCACACAATGGTATGAATTCACCGTAACATGAAGCCACTTATGTGGCAGGATTGCAGTAGAAATGCATATTGATTAGGTTTTACAACATGAGTTCGATATTACTATGTTAATCAGTAAAAGCTAAGGTTTTAGACATTGGCGGCTCTACCGCAACTAAAACAATTAAATACAGTGTCATTTTGAACGGAAGATCCTCTTTACCTTAGTTAAGGATTTAAGCACTCTTGGAGGTAGTGGATTGCGATTCGCTACACTCGTACTGGTTCTTGTAAAGAACGTATGATCGGTAACCTTAGCTTAGCTTTCTATAAGCAATGAGCTTGCATATTACCAAAAAATGGATGTTTGCAAAAAACTTTAGGACGTCTATTAGCGCAATTGCGTTGTTGATACGTTATCGCAGCTGTTGCCAGCGTTCCATTGATCGCAAACGTATTTATTAGCCGTCAAAGCCGTTAAGCTTGCTACTGATGGTGAGAGTAATGATGTGATTCGAGCCGTTGGTGCCTTTCACCATCGCTAAGCCGAAGTGCTGGCGCTTCAAAATTTGCGTTCAGCCTTTTGCGAGCCGCAGTATATCGTCAGTTAGTGCATCCATGCCACCCACGCTTCCTGGCCGTTGTGCACATAATGATATTAATGTGAGGGCTTAAAGGCATTTTATCCGACTTGACGTAGTCTTTCCTGGCGCGAGAATAAGCGCAAAGTGAACACGACACGCGGCTCACCACGTGTCATGTCAACTCGGCTAGAAACTAGCCACGCATATAGCGGATGGATGCCGCGTAGTTGTCCCCTATTCTTTCGAGACCTAATTAGTGGCATCATGAGCAGAGATCATGGTGTCGAGGCTAGCAACCTGTTAGAAGTAGGAGCAATCGTTTGGAGCTTTAAAAGGTCGAACGTTTTTAGTCGTCGAAGCGGAGAACACTGGAGTGACGACACACGTGTAAAAAAGAGATTTGGAAGCATATTATGCTAAGGATCACTTCGTCAATCGTTCTACTCGTCCGGATATCTGACGTGATACGATGGCGTCACTGGCTTAGGTATCGCGAGAGAATACTGATGCTATTTACGATATGCCGTTTACCTTTGATAACTGCACTGCTACCCTCTAATGGCAACAGGATAACTATCGCTCCCAAACCTAGTCATCATCAGTGTGTTGCGAATTAATGGTGCTGATCGACACGGTTCTTGTGATGAATCGAGCTATTTTGTATCAGTCAGAGCTCGCTCGGTATCCGTGAACAATTCGTAATGCGACTCGGTGGTGGTGTCTGCGATAAAAATACTAATGCGACTACCTCTACCGAACAGAGGACAAGAGCAAAATCACACTTGCCGTCACTGAGCCTCTAACGACGCTTTGAGATGATACAAGGCGATGGCAACGAACTGAAAGCCCATGTTTGCAAACATATAAAAGACCTTGCTGATCGCTCCAAGGAAATGAAAATGTTCGATCACAAGTGGGTGAATAACCTCAAATGCTATGAATGTGGTAAAACCTGACGGCACAATGATTTTTGAACCCCTACAGTGATACATGAACTCCGGTTGCGAACACTAGTACACCCAAGCAGGCAGCAAATGTATGTTTCAAGACGATGCGCTCCGTCATGATTTCTCTAAGTGCCGTGCGGATTCGAGCTATTGAGGGAGAGGACATTGCGACGTGTTTTTCTATAAACGAAGGGCCACTGATTTGTAAGAGCAAACACCAAGCAAGGGGTCCGCCGAGGCCGATTACCTGTCCTTCGTTCGTGCAACACAAAGGGTCGCTCCTTTATTGCATAAGATTGGAGTGACTGTCGACGATCCAAGTGGTCAGCATTCAGCATTGCGACCAACCGTGTTTGCACTCCACGATCGAATCATATCGAATTGCGTGCTCACTCTATTCGCAAGCACATTGACCAAGGTCAAGGACATATCATCGGCTCGCTGACTACTTGACATACCCCATGAGCTCTCAACTTTGTGCGCTGAGGATTCTTGTGTATCAAAACTTATTTTGATTGGATCAGTACACCTCACGTATTGACCGCTTCTAAATCCCTGCGAGCTATGAGGATGTTTTACCGCTTTTAAAAATGTTCAAGAAACTAAACATGGTATCAATTCAGAGTGCTAATGTGATGAATACGCTATTTGCTTTATATTGATAACATGTCCTCAACCATTCTACAATAACTTTTTGTAAAATTCATTTGTCTGTTTGGTACGAATTATTCGGGAAATATCACAGTACGTTTGTCATACAGAACATGGAATAGCTTAGTAGTTCACGGCCATATAAATGAATTTCAGTCTTGATGACTCAATCCATTTCGCGGCGTGTAGCCTCCTCGATAGCTTCCAGGAGACATGATGGGTATAGGCAGCATATGTGCATTAGGTGGGGTTGATGCCATTCCATAGTCAGTGCTCGCTCCACGTTCACGCATGGTTGCGTCTCTGTGTTTTTTTAGGTAAACGACAGCAATCACTGCCACGACAGCTGCAACGGCTACGATACCGGAGATTGCAACACCATCAAGCCCTACTGCATTTCTTTCGGTGCTAGACGATAACTTGGTCGTCAAAGTGCTTGTCGGAATGACGTCGTAGTCACCAACGCTACCAACGCCGTTTTGCAGCTCATTCTCGTCACCACCCACATAATCGCCTACACTAACGTCCACTGAGCTATTACCTTTTGGAGCAGGCGGTGTTGCATATGGCGTCCCAGTCGTGTTGGTAAATGGTTCCGGCGTAGTAGCAGGTGGCGTAGGTTCTGGAGTAGGTGAAATAGTGAAAGGAGCAGGCGTGGGCTCATAAGAAGGCGTTGTAGGAGCACGTGTGGTTGGAGCAGGCGTGGGTTCAGGTGCAGGCGTGTGCTCAGGAGCAGGCGTGGGCTCAGGAGCAGGCGTGGGCCCAGGAGCAGGCGTGGGCTCAGGAGCAGGCGTGGGCTCAGGAGCAGGCGTGGGCTCAGGAGCAGGCGTGGGCTTAGGAGCAGGCGTGGGCTTCGGAGCAGCAGGCGTTGGCTCATAAGAAGGCGTTGTAGGAGCACGTGTGGTTGGAGCAGGCGTGGCTGGAGCACGTGTGGTAGGAGCAGGCGTAGCTGGAGCCCGTGTGGTAGGAGCAGGCGTAGCTGGAGGACGTGTGGTCGGAGCAGGCGTGGCTGGAGCACGGGTGGTTGGCGCAGGCGTGGCTGGAGCACGTGTGGTCGGCGCAGGCGTGACCGGAGCAGGAGTGACCGGAGGTGTAGGTATTGGCGTTGGGGGAATCACTTCAGGCAGCGTGGGTGCTGGCGTCGGTACTTCACCGCATTTATACAAGTCGCGCAGCGGAGTGGTTTGTACAAACCAGCTTGAGTTATAATCTTGATTGCCGTCAAAGGATCCGCTGCCATCCAGGTCCACGGTATCTTCTCTGTTGTAGTTCCACGATTCGCACTTGGTCTCCACAGCGCCACTGCACCCCACGGTTGGCAGTACACAGCCCCATGTGTTGCCATTCACGAGTTGGCACACAGCATCTTCGGGTGCCACACAGCGACCATCAATATACGATGGTAGGTATGTATAACACTCGGCCACTGCCACATCCCCTGCTTTAGGGCAGCTAAAACCTGTTGGCATGCCTGAACCTGCACAGAGCATTGATGCATCCACTGAAAGGCTGTAGGTGGCGTCGCGACAGACACTCACGTCCTCATGAGCGCTAGTCGAAGCAGTTAGTACTGCAATTAGCAGCAAGAGCGTACGGAACATTTCCCGTGCAATTAATCTTCTTACGTTAATGGAAGTACCGCGTCTTGTCGTTGATCGAATATCACCAACGTAGTGCGGTGGGTGTCTGCTATGTTGTATGTATATGCTTGAATGACAGGCAGAAAATTCTCTGGATATATAGCCAGCTTAGCGATATGACCCTTGATTCTTTGAAGACGATAATATCCACTTCAACAGTTTTCAAAGGTACATTTTTATTGCACAGCTTATCACACAAGAAATAAGTTATACTTTCCATATAAAACAAATGTGTAATTTACATAGATGACTCTCCCAAGAGGATTTTCATCATGGAGCAGTTTTAAGCATCACAGAAAGCCATAGAAATGGTGATGCAATGGATTCTCTGCACTCTATTTTTTGCGCGCCACGCTCCAATTAACAAATTAAAAATTTTGATGAGGCATAAATCACAGATTGTGAAGCAGACGTGCACCAATGGAGAGCCGTGACGTGGATGAAGTTATGATTGAGAAGCTTTACAGACTCATTTTGCGTGACGACAAAATTTGTCTCAACTCAAGTAATTTCTTTGAAAGTTTAATTGATACATGATGTTGCGCGTCATCATCTTTGCATCAATTCCCAACTTTTTAGAATAATAGTTTGTTCCGTCTACGCCAAATGAAGACAATAGAGCAAAACGATTTCTACGTATCTTCGTTTTTTTTCCCGTCATGCGAACAGCCTGGACAAAATCTGTGAAATTGAAAGGGACTTAACGCATTGTATATAGCAGTTAAGCCTGAGAAAGTAGGAATGTTAACTCTGTGCAAGACTGCTGGAAAGATAATTTTATTTAACGGTGTGTCCTATTAAAACGAGACTTGTAACTACTCGACAGTCCTATCGAGTTCAACGCCAAGCTTTATTCATCACGCAACGATGACATAATACGCACGAGCTTGCCTCGAAATAAAGTGATGAGTCTAGCGACCTTTTTTTGATAGATTCTTTCAAATACTAATCGCAAATCAGTATGAACCAGATCAACTCAGGTGAAATCCATAAGGGGGAGTGAACAAGATAAATAGAACAGTCTGATATCAATCATTGAAGTAGATCCAATAAGGCAGCCACATTTCAGTCAGCTAATAAGAACGAATCTAATTTACATACAGAGCTGTGGGTAAGAAGCCACACCAATCGTTTCCCACAACTTGGTTGGCAAAAACGCATTGACCTCATCTGTAAATTGACCGATCACACTTCTGTAGCAGGTAAGTAGGTTCACCAAACATATGTGCATTTTTCATGGATAACGCCATCGAATTCGCAATGCTGACTCACCAAAAAGATTCGTGAGCTAAATGAAATGTAAATCAATACTGCTTCTTTCGTAAATTTGGGGTAGCAATAAATGTTCGCAGGAGAACAGAAGTCACCCCGATAATTCTCAGACCTACTCTTGGATTTCTTATAAAGTGTAGACGACTGCGTTAATAACTCAATTGGATCCAAAAGTCAATCTCGTTCCTTCCATACGAAAGATGCTGTGTAGAATGATGAAGCTGCGTCATCTCCTTCTTCATACTCCAGCGCACAATATTACAGATGCCTTACCACATGATTCACCTACACATATGTCGTACTATTTTACTGTAACAGCTTTTTCAAACTTGTGTAGAAACACTTAAATGTCACCAAGGTAGTTGTCAGGAAGTTTAATTACCATTGTACTATTACTTTATCTGAGCTTCTTCTCGCAGGCAGTATCCATGAATTAAGCTACGTGGAGTGAGAAATATTAACGGCATTGATTAATTTGATCTTGCGTGTGCGTGACCACCAGGAAGATACGTCTGTCGCATTATTTTGATGCGTGTATCAACCAAATATGAGGTCGTTCCGGGGCATATTCTGTAATCTCGTGTGTTTGAACCGTACAAATATGGTACGATTGATTAAGTTACAATAACACTTGGATTTTGGGAGAGATCAGACGTGCTAGATTATTACTCTTTTTAAGCCAGTAACAAATATTGCCGACTTTCGTATAGTATTGAATTTAAGGTTACAATGACTTTGCAGTGGTATTTGGTAGCACATGTAAGTATTAGTCGGTTTAACATACATACCAAACAGTTCAAAACAGGCGAATGATATTTAATATAAAAAAAAAGTTGCTTCAAATCCATTTTCAATACATTAACCATGTAAATAGCTTAAGCACATAGTTCCAGTGCAAATATTACTTGACATACTTTTATCAGACAGTGCTGCTAGAATAGATACAAAAGTAACAGTGGCTGGAAACGCACCATGACTGAGTCTCGAAGCTGCTTATTTGAAGTGTTCGTGCTGCAGCTGAAATCTATTTGTGAGAAGAAAAGCTCCGAAACCCAAATGCGAACGCTTTTGCTGATAATGCGCTCCATATCATGTAGAAGGTTAATTTAGTAGTCTTATTATATCAATAGAACTAAGGAAAGGCACACTATTGACACAAAGTCCTTTTACATATCAAACTTGACAGTAAAAAGGTCTACTGCAACTGCATTTCAAGACGGACCAATCATTTTTATGGATCGGTACACCGGCTGATTAAAGTCGTTGTGGACCAGAAGATGAGGGTTGTCGACTACTCATCTATCATGTTAAGTATTCGCTGATGTTGCTATATTTACTTACTTCAAGAAATATGTACATCAATAGAGATGTACTTCAATTATTCGTCGTGTCTGCGCCCTGTAGTAACACCAGATTCTTCTTTGTTTTTAAATGCTACAGTCTGCCTATACCAGTCTTTTATCGATTAGCTCTCGTGATATCATTGTCCAATATTCTTGACAATGTTCGTGCCGATCTTTTCGACTTTTTTACTGCTTGATGTCAGTGTATCGTACACGTCTAATTCGAGTACAGTCCAGCATGAAAATCCCATCGTGGTCATTGGTCATTTGAATGCTTTGCTGCCTCCTACAAATAGTAGCTTGACCGCTACTGAAGGAGAGTTAGAGAGCTACGATGATAGTGAGCAAGACAATGTCGACGTTGTAGCATCTGGTGGGGAAGCGAGGATGTTTTCTTTTTTTAAAAAGCCGCCATTTCAATACACCCAATTGGTATCTAAAGAAGCAAAGATTGAACTCCAGCCGACCATTTTTGCGAATGTGATGGCCCTGCTGGAGATAGAGAAACGGAATCCAAAACAAAATCAGAATCTACTCGAAATCCTTACGAAACTTCTCGGGTCAAAAGATGAAGAATTGAAATCGCTTGCCGGATCGACTGTCTTCAACTTGCTTAATAACCCTGAGACCCGCGTGGAGATACAAGATCAATTTCTCGTATCTCAAACGAAATTATCAACGATATTCACATTTTTGATGGTGCATACCGAGGACAAATCTCTCAATGAATTCTTCGAGCTTGAGCTACACATTCCACTGTTGTCCTACGCCTGCAAATTGTATGACCAAAAAGGCATTGTGACAAAAGTTCCAACTGCAGTCGTTAATGACGTCGTGTGCGACGTCGCCGACGACGTCGCAGAAGACGTTGCTCGACTACTAACGCAAAATCATAAAGGAGGTAATTTGATAACTTGGCTGGGAACTTATCGAGCTATACCGATCAAATCGACCAAACCCATCCCTACCTCCATCGACGATTATATTAACAGACTTGTGGATGGCTTATTGCGTAATGAGAAGACTCGCGAGCTAGCGTATCGCTTGCACGCGTTGAGCTTTCCTGATCTTGTGTCGTTTCACTCGCATTATTCCAAGTTTTCCATCCTCACAGCATTTGATCTTTGGCTCAAATTCGCTGCATTTACTCGTTTCAACTACATTGAGCATGAAGCAAAAAGTTCAGAGTTTTCGAAGCGACAAATTTTCAATTATATGGAACAACGAAGGGGGAAATATCGTGAGGAACAAATGAATATCTTTTCGTTTGATGGGAAACTTCAATCGACGATTATTTCCCTCAAGTCTGAAATAGATTGGTTGCAACTCAATGACGATCAAATCCGTTTATTTAGAGCTGCATTACAATCTGAATATCACGCGAAATTGGTCAGAGAGTCTTTGAAGGAGAAGAGTCATGTCGCTGCATATAAGAAGAAATTAGGTGATGAGAATATGGTGAAAACATTTGAGGCGCTATTAAACGACGAAAAATTCGTAGAATTGCTTCAAAAGGTGCTCAAAGACGAGTACTTAGTGCAGATACTCAAAGAGGCTTTGCAATTAAAACATCCACGGTATCGTATATCGGGTCTGAGAAAACGTCATGCTAAGCTGAAGCTTATTGAAGCTGATGTAAATGATAATCTCCAAATGTTGGTCACGGATCATGATAAAGCGAAGTTGATCATAGCGTCTTTGGCGGGTGATGTCGATCTTAAGTTATTTGGAAAAGCTTTCGAGGCAGCAAGACGATTGAAATTGGTTGAAGACATGTTGAGTAGTACGGAATTGGATACGATGAAGACGCTCGAAGCGATTTTCACAGATCAGACAAAAGTGCAATTGCTAAGAGAAGCTGTAAAGGATGATGAGCATTTGAAAAAATTCAGATTAATCTTGGACGACACGAACAGCTTTTTGGACGACAGGAGGGCATTGGTTGATGAGAATTTGGCGGATGTGTTCGATAATTTATTGAAGGATATGAATCATGTGTTTTTTCTTAGAGTAGCTATCAAGGATGATGATCGTGTGAGCTTGTTTCGAGCGGTTTTGGAGGGAAAAGAACAGGTAAAGAAGTTTGGAGAGGCATTGAACAAAAAAAGTTTGGTATACGTGTTTAGATCGATACTTCAGGAAGAAAAACAGTTACGTTGGCTTGAGAAGGCTGTTTTGGAGAACAGCTATCAGGATTGTAAAGCTGTCATGGATTCAAGAGATAGAATGATGCTGGATAAAGAGCTGTTCGAGCACCTCGAGTCATTTGCTGAAAGATGAGGCGACAAACAGTCTTGAACCTTCGTCTTAATGTCGAATCAATTCTCATCACTTTATTGACCATTTTTTTCAGTGCTTTAAATGTTTGCAAAATCTCTTCTTACTGGTAGTAGTTTTTCTTAGTGAAATTAAAATTTGCTTTTTAACTTTCCTAAGTGACTCGTCAATCGAAAACAAGAAACATAGTACAAATCAGGTGTCTTTTCTTAAGGACGTCGACATATCAAGGACCAAATGCATGGGTATGTCCTGAATTCTTGTTCACTAAAACCGTTACACAGTATGTGCCGTTAATTGTTTTAATCACAATACGGTTCCATTATACGAAATGTTCATTAGTACTGATATATCGGTAACTAAAAGGTATGGCATATTTTAGGAGATGTTTATTCGATTTTCAGCACTTGGTAGAACTTGAGTCAATTTTACGAGAGAGTCGTGAAAAGACTGTATTCTCTGCGATGATCGAGCATCAAGCCTCTGATTTTTGGGGGGCCCGATGAAATCAGTGAATTGGCTACCAAAAGACTGGATGCGGAATTTGCTCGCGTGGATTCACTGATTTGATGCTAGAAGATCGCGCGCGAATATAGGCACACACGGACAATTGTTTGATAAAAGGGTGCCCCCAACATTAAGAAATTTGAAGCGTCAGAGGTTTTCACCGCCTGATGAGGCACATCGGACGCGTTCAATATTCTTGTCTACCTGCAAAAATGAATAAGCTGTGCTTGACACCAAGAATATTTGTTGGGTTTGACAACGTAATTACGTTTGAGTCTAGCTGGCTAAATCTGCAGAGAAGAACAACCTTATTCATGACAAGGATCTGTTTGCAGTGAAGTATGCCTTTGTTAAGTTCAGAGGGCATCCTCTCGGCTGTAAGCCGTTTGTGATCGATACTGATCACTTGTCGTTGAGCATAGCGACATCATTACCACAACTCTCACAGTGAAATGCAAGACGCGTATTCTTCTTTGCCGTGTGTACATTGATGTAAGGTAAAGGCCGGGTAGTCACCAAATGACGAAGGGATACAAAATGTGTTGCGATCCAGAAAGCTTTTGGAAACAAGAAATTTGAGAGCTCAAAGCTCATTATATAAGCGTATGGCTGCGCGCCTGCACCGCTATTATTCATCCCAGGCTTGCTAGATTATAGCACTGACCCACATGACGCTCAGCTTGTAGTGGCGCCTCATAACAAGAACATCGAACTTCAGGATTTAGTATTCATGGCATCGCTTGGGCGGGCGCATTGCGAGGAAAAAGATCATACTGCTCCGTAAGAACCATGTATTGATCGTCTGACATATCAGCCGATAAACCTTTGCTATAGTGGCGGCGCCTTTTATCCAGCCTTCCAGCTCTGGCATAGTCTTCGCAATTCATAGGTACATATTGGATTTTCAAAAGATGTCTACAGTCACACCGGTATTGTCGTTTTTGTGAGCCGCCTAAAGATGGCTTACCTCGCTGCTGTCTAAAATGAATTGACCAGTGAGTGTGCAGCCAAGGTGCTCATGGACAAGCTGTTTAGCCGACATGGCTTGCTGGTCGCCATTGTATTGGAAAGAGAATTGCGCTTACAGCAAACTTTATGCAATAATCATTCAAGATGCCTTGAACCATTGTGAGTGTGTCGGCTGCTGGTCACTTTCAAGCAGATGACCAAACAGATCATGTTAATTGTCTCGTTGCGCGGTAAGTCTACGGTGCTGGAGCGAGCTGCTATCACTTGTTGATCTTACGTTGAATAGCGCAGAACATTCCTACACCCGCTTTATCCCATTTAGCATAATTTTTATGAGACTTTGAGAACCTTTGACGCCACCACAAAAATATCTGGTCAGAACTTATCGGCCTGGGTACACTTCATTAAATATTTAGTGATTATCTATCAAATTGGCTGAACGTCATGTATAGGGTGTGTAACGCTATGCGTGAAATTCAAGACAGACCAAGTTACTTTGGTAAACGTCTGCATCGCTGAAGCTGTCTTGTAAAATCTGATGATGGATGAGTCGAAATCTTTAGCACAGCCGTTGCTCAAAGTGAAACATTTATGCAGCGGCACTTTTGATACTTGCCTATAAATTAAAAAGGTGCTTTCTTGTGCTCCTTTTGTCCTGGGTTTGAGCATAAAGCCCATGCATGCAAGTATGCTGGCGCAGGGAGCGACGCCGGACGTTTAGAACGAAAATCAGAGCATAATTTGAATAAAAGTCAGCATGGCTCATATATTCGCAGTAGAGCAACCTGGGACCTTCGAGCTGAAATTAGTGTGCTTTTAACAAGCTAACATTTTTTGGGATTTACGACAGGGTGTTGAATCTTTTTCTGCAAATGGAAAAGGGAACGGAGTCTTATATGGTCGGTCGCGAGGACCTCACTATTTGTAAAGCTCGCTAGTGTGTGCGCAGAAGCGGACTTCCAGTACAGGTAAGCTCAAATAGACAAACACGGTATAATACACAGAGTGGTGTCGACTTTACTGGATCATTACAGATGGACGTGTTCGAAAGGTTGCACAAGGCTCATTTTGAGATCTGAGGTTCGGCATTTCGACAGCAGCGCTGACTCGATGTTTAATGCCTAAGTGGAAATTTATCAAACTCGTAGGCACTGACTGGCTGGCTCGAGAAGTGGTCGTGTTTGCGCATTGACTTAAATCGACAAAGTCAGTATGAGCCACCCAGTGTGCCTCACATCTTTGTGGGGTGGGTGTAGCGAAACAACTACATTTATCTCATGTAATGTGTTCGTACATATTTGGTACAACTGTACCGAATGCGTAATTGTTCGAAAGCTACATAACACAAGATGTATACGTTCATACTTTGAGTACCAAAACATCGGAAATTTGGAAGATGGCAAGATTCCAAGAGAAAGGGGTCCGCGATACTCGTGGACCGCCTCACATACCGTATAATATTGCATATAACAATTGCACGTCGGAAATGAACAGTTTTACTCAAAGAGGTAGTAGCTATATATATTTGAAATTGTCTATATAGTGTAACTCGAAATATATTTTTGACACAGCAGAGCATGCTAACAATTTTTAGTAGAGGCTTTCAATATCAGTCTTGATCAAACAACACTAGCCCAATTCATGTGCGTTTTAAAACGCGGGTTCTAAGACTAAAAAAATTCTTAGTCAAAGTGTGCGGAAATCGCGTATTCTAGATAAGCGCAACTGATAATCCCCTTTTGTAGCGCATTTCCGCTATTAATCTTTTATTGTTGCTCACTTGGTTCTTGGGGTTGGATGGATATCATGTGTCTTTATATGCGACGATCATAGCAGCAGTAAATGCTCTGTTCAGCTTGTCAGTTTTGTTTGAGCGGCCGGATAGTAGCAATTGGAGTCCGGTTGCTGCAAACAGCAAGACACCATGTTTGGACATACTCGCAGTGCTAGTATTGGACTAAACGTTGGCGAATTAAGTATTAAAATCATTATTTCTAGCTAACTAGTACTCGGTGTAGCTTGGGCCGAAGTATATCACAAGCGCAGCAATTCGATGTCCATTTATATTGAACGTTCTTTACGCACATTTACCATTCGACTGTTGTTCAGTATTTGTAATATGGCTAAGGCTGGCTGCAGACTTGTGCACACTTATACAATGTGCTCCATGTCTTTCAAACACTCCGTCGAAATAGCAACAATTAACGCTACTTTATCTTGCCTTTGATATTGCAGCTCAAACCCCGCAGTCTTGTTGCGTCTTGACTGCGCTCTTGAAACTTGTGCGCATCATACTCGACCAACTTCGTACACCCGCACATCGAGCATTCTTGCAGCGCATATGTTTTTGAAGCCACCAGAGCCGTCGTGAGCAGGCCCACAACATCCATTCTTTACTACGCTAGAACTTTTATTTCAACAACATAAAATCGAATAATTCATTAACTTTTCCATTAACTCATATCGAGATATCAAAGATTTTTCTGAGCTAAAGCCTGGTTCGAAATAAATAATATTTATAGTAATTTATTGTTTCATTCAAATGCGAAATAGTGGACACCGGTTTACGGTGTTCGTCCCCAAGCAGACGACAGAATATTCAGTCAGAGCAGTAGTTAGGATATCCACTTACTGACATTGAAGTATCAAGTAGCTTTGAAAGTAATAACAGCTTCAATCTTACACTCAAGGTGTATATTTAACAGATTTTGTTTGCAAACTTCGTAGTCTCTAACTCATAATTCAGTCCTCGTTATGGACTTCTTTGTCGCCAGTTGCTCCGGCTAGCTCGACTGTAATTATTTTTTACCGCATTAACATGTTGCTATAAAATATTTATCTGTTGGACGTCGATTCTTTAGATGCCAAAAAATAAGCACTTTGCAACAGCGCTGGACCAATTGACGTTCAAGAGAATGTAAGGCGATTAACTGCGCTCCAATGGAATATTGAAAATGCTTCTAACTTGGTCTGCTGACTGCTCGCAGCGATGCATGGTAGCCATAAAGCTCTTCCTACGTCAACTCTTTGTTAGGATAATGGCGCGGGAAGGTGATGGTGTGCATGAGCGCATTAAAGACCAAGAAACTGGCAAAACTAGATTGAAGTAAGGAGCTCCAGTCAGGAAGGATAACTTGGTTGCCACGCTTCTCGCACCTCTTAACGAGTCGTATAAGGATTTAAATGAAGGCAATGGAGTCGGAGACTGACTTGCCAAACTGTAAAAGCGTGGCTTCTTGGCTGTAATACGACGCAAGAAACAAGGTGGTCATTTCTATAAAAATTGCGCGCCATCAAATATAAGCGTTTGTTCTCTTGGACAATAGACGAAGCGAGGGACGACATGCATTAGTGAAAGTACGTGTCACTTTTGTGATGAGCATGATAATTGAGTTTCAAAGTGCTTAGTGCGTATCCACGAGAACAAGGAACCGCATGGCGATGATATCGCGCAGAGTGAGACCCCTATGAAGAATTGTTTTTTTCCTGTTGGTGGTGATACAGGTCTTATCATATCCGATCGCGAATGGATAGCCAACTACAGAGTGACGCAGCGCATGCTGTACTCAAAATGGGACATGAAAAGGTAGAAAATAATTTAACCTGTAAACGCGCACCGTGCGCGTGATGGCATAGTTCATGCTATCTGTACATGTAACGTAGTTGTGCCGATGTCAGCATCACGCGGCACAAAGAGAAGTGTAGTAACGACCGGATGACACATCACAGAGCTATCGCTCAAGTTTTTTCCCATCGGACGCCTTACAAACGATTTTGGCCTGGACACCTCCCACCGCAATAATTTTTACGAAGCAAAGTGTATCCGATGAAAACTTGGTGCTTTTAAAGTAAATATATTCTTTAAACTACGTATAAGTCAATCGGTGCTGACAAGGCTAATGTGATGAGCTCAGCTGTTTGTCACATGGACTCTAATTTGTTGCTATGGCACCGCGGACTTGGTTTCATTGGTCAGGATGTAATAGACGTCATTATCATGAAAATGTATGGTGTTGGCATTAACTTAAGGTCGGTCAATCAGTAGAGCTATGCGATAGTTGTACTTTGGACAAGCAAGGTCACTTGAGCCATACAAACTCCACCACGCGTCATGCCAGACACGTCCTTTAATGTGTCCATTGCGATCTATATGGTCCCATGAGATCGCCAATCAAGCGGCAAGCGCTATTCCGCAGAACAATATTGTTTAGTAAAAGCTCCATTTGTATTGTGTAACATTTATTTTTACAAGTTCGCTAAGTTTATTGCGATCGTAGATGTACAGACTGCAAAATTGTTATGCTTCGCGAAAGTGTCAAAGGTGGTGAGTAAACGTCAAGTGAGATGAACAGATGCTGCAAGCATTGACATTGTGCGGTCGTAAAAGCCTCCGTAAAGATCTCAGACAAACGACACTGCCGAGTTGATGAACCGAACGCTGGTGGAATGTGTAAGCTGTATGTTGGGATATCCAGGCTGTATTGAGCTGGAGCATCAATGACAATAGCATTTATGCGCAATCGTTGCCTCGCGCGTATAATTTGCCACAAATAGTCGCTACGTAAAGTCAAAGGCAAAAACCGTTGCTGGCGAACGTGAAAGTCAGGCTCATGTGACTGTTCCGTCGCTAAGACACACCCCATTGGATGCTAGAGCAGTCAGGTGACATGATTTAATCCGATCACGAGTTAATGTATCGTTTAAAACGACAATAAGAGCTCGTCAGGAAGCCCTGACGTGCAATCTCCAACGATGAATGACGGATTCGCTGATAGTGAAAAATCTGCTAGGTGAAGCAGGAGGGAACAAAGTAAACGCAGCCTGAGTCAGAAGACGAAAGCAATGAGTCTGATATACATTCTGATGAATCGATAGTTAAAAATTAGAGAACATTGGCGCTAGATGAAGTGGTTAAGACTTTACAATCCAAACGTCAGTCGGACCTGAAGTCAAATTGAACGGGGTTTCGCGTACCCAGGTATGAGGGGTGGGTCACACAAAATGATTGGCCGTACAAAGGTGTGGATTACACCAGTCGGTGTAATCACACAATGGTGTGGCTGCGCCGGAACGAGAAGACACTACGTGGTGGGACTGCTCTGCCGCAAATAAAACAGACCAACACAGTTTCAATTTTGAGCGGAAGAGTACATTTGCCTTGGGTTAAGGCTTTGGGTACTCTTCGAGGTAGCGGAGTGCGATCTGCTACACTCTTACTGATTCTAGTATAGAATGTAAGGTCGGTGACTTAGCTTGACTTCCTCTAAGCAAAGAGCTATGGCAGACACTCGGTAGCACTCGAAGTCAATCTACACCTGAGTCATTACTATGGATCCTCTGTGAGGATAAAGTAATTCTCCTATTTACCCCAGGGCATGCAGAACGGGCTCAAAGTGCTGATGTCTCCGCTTGGCCTTGAGGGCGTGCAACACCTTGCTTTGCAAGGACCAAGCGCGCGCCCAGAGGCGCTCTTAACAATAAAAATGCTCTGCTAGAGCTTCTAGAGAAGATGTCGGTGTCGACTGCGTCCATGACGCCACCGTCGACAAGGGATGACTCCTCCCGGCCCAGGCCGCTCATAGTGAGCGTTGAGACCTTCGAGGGTAAGAATAGAGATAATTTCATGCTCTGGGTGCGGGAGGTCAAGGTGGCTTTGGCATCCGCCATGCTCCAGAGCTAGCAACAGAGCGTAGCGCTAACTATCTTTAAGCCCGTGGGTCGAGCATGAGAGTGAGCACTGACGCGCGGCACTTCGTTGGAGGAAGCGTTCCTGTTCCGAACGGAGCTGACGTTGCAGCTTTTGTGAGTGTTTTCGCCGCCTAACCAAGTATATCGCGTGTGATCACGTTTCCTTACCACCCGACAGGGCAAGAAGAAATTAAGGACTTTATCCAAGAGTTGCAAACTCTCATTGCCGGGATGGCAGCCGATCTTCTGCCCGAGGCGGTCGCAGTGACCGTCGTTATGGAGCGCCTCCGCACTGACGTGGCCTCAATGGAAGTTTTTGTGTGCATCAGTCTTCTTTCGAATAAGCGGTGAACGTGGCATTAGATTCGAATTCGACTTTAAGTCAGCACGACTTGGTTGGAATACACATCCTCAGAGCTCGTCGAGCGGTGGCCAATGAAGCTCAGCTATGCTGAAAAAGAGGAGGGAAAGCGTCGAGCTGCCGGGCAGCGTTTGAACACCCGACGGAGTTTTGTCAGTAGAGACACTCGTCACCTTCGGACTTGTTGTCCCTGCTCAAGGCGCGTAAAGGTTCATCGAACCGACGTCCCGTCTCTAACCAGTCTGCTTTGTTGCGGATAACGACAAAACCCAGTAGGCGCGAGGTGCCCTGCTGGGGAAGAATTGAGTTCTGTTGAGTCTCAAAGAGATAGAGAGCAGCAGACCCTAGATATGAAGATCCCGGGCTCTTGAACACAGAGCGTGTATGCAAGCCGGGCTTGCTGGTTGTAAATGCGACCGTTAAGGGCTTTCAAAAAGTCATGAAAGATCCGGATCGATTCCGAGGCGTCCAACAATCAAGCTCCACGCTCTACGATCGAAGCAAGTCAGCTGTATGCAGAGACGCTGGAAGCGCGGTTGAGTGACACCGTCACTATTCGCTTAGCGACGGGGACTTGTGTCACTGTGCCGAAGGTCCCTGTGGACCTCGGTGTCAAGTATATTGACTCCGATAGCATGGAATGCTGCTTAGCCTTAGTCTTGGATTTGAGGTATGACCTTATCCGTGGTATGGCATGGTTGGAACACCATGAGCCATGGATGGATTGGAGGTCGAAAACCTTGGGCGCTACACACACATTCCCTACTGGAAATTTGGTGAGCCACAAACCCATCTCTGCTCTAAATCAGCGGTTCTATCGGCGTGGGCACTGGAACGGGACGGTCAATGTGCTGGATATCGGAGTATCCGAGATTTTGAACACCGAAGGAGTATTGGACAAGCGTCCCGAGCATGACTTGCGGACTGAACATGGTGTGGCACGTAACCCACTGAGCACTGCTCAAGTATCAAAGCAGTAGCTGCATACAAGAGAAATCTGGTCGGACGAGGTTCGAGGTATCGAGGGCGATGCCACTTTGATGCGCGTGGAGTGGCACGTAATCCACTGGACAAAGACTGCGGAAATAGCAGCTCATCGTTGGATGCGCACATATGTGCTCGTCCATTTGTACAGCTTGGGTCACCAATAGTGGCAGCTTACCGAGCTGTGCGTCTACTCAAGACCGAGATGAACACTAAGTGGAGTGTCGTGGGCCTCATAAAGGATACGGTATTTCAAATCCTCGTCGTAAAGAGCCACAATTTGTGGTGTATCCGCTGAATCGGTGCTATAATACAGCAACCCGTTACTCAACGAATAAAGGTGTAACCGTGCGCGCAAATGCACCAACAATTTTTTGTCTGAATTTCCAAATTCCTTGCTCCCGAGAGCCCGTAGCAGCGATTCACACATACTGTCACCCGCGTATGCGGTGCGAATTAATCCGTTACTAACGACATCACCGTCGTTACATGAGCAAGCTGATAGTCCTGCCCGCGACAACGCATCAGCCAAAGCATTCTGCTTTTCCGGCTTATACTGCGAAGAATGAGAGCTACCTGGACATCCTCTACGAGAGGTGAGGCGACTGAGTCGCAGTGCGTAAGAACACATGATCTGTGTAGATCACAAACGGCTTGAGCCAAGCACGTGCACCCTGAACTTGACAAGTGCATACTTCGTCCCAAGTAATTCATTGTTGTGGACTGGGTTGTTCCTCTCCACAGCTTTAAGCTGGCAAGATTCGAACGCGATCACCCGATCTCGCACCTCGGTGTATGCTTGCAGGAGTGCACAGCCGATGGCAAAGACCGAAGCAACACAGACGACACTAAAAGAACGATCGGGGTCTGGCAATGCCAGTATTGGTGCATTCAGGAGGCTGTCTTTGACCCTGTAAAAATCCTTCCAATGCCCAGTGTATCAGCACCATTCTTTATCCTTCTTAAGAAAATTAGACAATGGCCGTGCCATTTCCGCATAATTTACGCTATACTAGTTGGCGAGGTCAAGCCACTTGCGCAGGTCCTTCTGGTTCTTTGGAAACGGCTAGTTTGCAATGGTCTTGACCTTAGCGGGATCCGCTCAAAAGCCACGCTTTCCAATGAAGCACCCTAAAATGGAATTTCTTTCGCGCCGAAGATGCACTTATCTGCATTAGCCTACAGCTCATTCGTGCGCATGCGCTCTAGCACCGCTCTCAAATGGACGGTGTTTTTTCCTCATCTGGCCTCCTGTGCACCGCAAGATGTCGTCAAGAATGTTTATGCATACGCCCGGTGGGGCCTGATCAACCACGTCTCAAGACGATTCAATGTTGCTGGTGCCTTTAACAGCCCTTGGGGCATCACCATCCACTCCCAGAGCATCCCGATCCGTGTATTTACCGCTGTCAGCGGAATATCACTCGCTTTCATGAGCAATTGGTCGGTTCGCCTTCAGTTTGACAAACTTACGTCCATTTCCTTGTGGCTCCGCTGTAAGTTAGACCGCGAGAAAAGTTTACGGTGCTGCTGCACCATCGCTCAAAGAGCTCTTCATCATCTGCAGCGGTTTCGCCAGGAGCGAGCACCAGAGAAATAGTCCGAATTGCGGGTGCAGAAGCGCCTCCTCTTTGAGTGCGAAGTCGAGCGCGGTACCTATCCATTGGGATATTTTGAGGTACCAAGTAGCGAGCTCGGAAAGATTTTCTTTGGTCAGCCTCGGCTTGTTTAGTGACCGAAGGCCCGACTGCGTAGACGTCAAACGATCAAGTGATCGCGTCTACCGCTTCAGTAGCGGGATCCGGCAAGCGAAAGCCGTATTCCTCACGTGGGTCTACGATCGAACGTGGGTACGAGCGCATGAGAGCCGCCGTGTTGGCAGTCTTCAACTTCTGCATTCGTGCCTTGTTGAGGTGATTGGCAATAAAACCACTCCCCTCGGAAGCCGAGAGGTCGGGAAATGGACACTGTTCTCTAGATTTCGAGCATGGCTCACGTCGCACCGTTGGCGCATCTCGCCCTTCTCTTTTTCCCATCCTAGGAAAGGGGTATTCAACTCGTACTCGACTTCCTCCGTGTCCTCGACGATATAATCCGTCGCCCATGGCGACGCGGAGTGTGGCGCCAGGTTGCCGAGGGCTTGGGATGTGCTTTCCGTGAAACAGCGAAACGTACTGTCCGGAGTTGCACCACGTGCAGGAGACGAATAAGGGTTCTCAAAACCTGAACCCAAGAAAAATCTACTCGTCCGTTCAATTGAAACTGTATTTATCTTTTTTATTTGCGGCAAAGCCGCCTTCATCGAAAACCTTAAGTTTTCCTAACTAAATAGTAATACCTAGCTAAGATGCATAACTATTGGCAGTCCCGCCACGTAAGTGGCTTCTTGTTACGGTGTAGCCACACCATTGTTTGATTAACCGACTTGTGTAATCCGCACCTTCGTACGGTCACACTATCTTGTGTGGCCCAACCCTTCATACAAGGTTACGTGTAACCCCCTTGCACTCTCCCCCATCAAAAATAAAATACCCACAATTTACATCTAACTGTCGCCTCGTACGAGGCTCGCGTGTCTGAGACACCGTTGCATCTCTCGGACCATCTTCACGCATTCTCTGCTGTATGAGCTTTGTGTCTATAGCACGAAAAACACCTAGCCTTGCTGGTTGCAAGGGCGCCCGCGGGTCTGTAGCACGTCTGGAAACACCAGAAACGTAAGTGACATGTGGTATCAGGTGGAAATCGAACGCGGACAAAAGGTCTCCTATCGTCGACAGCATCAAAATATCCAGTTGGACTATAATCTGGTAACTCTGCACTGAGCTAAGTGTAATGAGACGGTGCGCACATAACCATAAGCACAATTAGCTAGGTAACAAAAAAGTTACTTTACTTACTTAATACTTAGAGTGCCTACTCATGACATTCCACACTTACACCAACTTTTTTATCAGGCTATTCGATTGCGCTGTATTACAATCAAAACAACTGTATCAAATGTGCAATTTTTGAGTACACTTGGTGACAGTACTTGCCCGTCACACCTCTCCACCAAGATGTGAACCACCTGGGTTCGCACTTATTTTGACGTTGTTAGACACAAAACAAACGTAAACTACAGCGGCTGGTGCACTGTGCGTTACCGTACCTGATATTGTGGCAAGCCTGTATAAAAAGTCCGATTCCGTGCACACAATCGGCTAGCTCGACGTGCTGTTCAATTAGATCAGATTTCGCGTCCGAAGCACTTGAAGTGTGTCATCTGTTAAGATACCTAGGTTTTACCCGATGAGAACGGTCACAGACAAACCCCGAGTCTCAACCAAGCGCTAACGCTCTTACCTCACGATACGCGACCTCGCTGAATCCCAAGGTAGAGGGAGCTCAATACGATAAGTCTCGTCGCTGAACGAGCCTCGCATTTTGTGATCTCTTACATCGGCAGGAAGTGTTTCGACATCCCGTCGTTGAGAAAGGCTATGTCCAGCTTGTTACCAGCAAACTTACCCTGCCTATGAAGCCCAGCTTGCTATATTGCAGTTGTAAGAGTCACGCAGGTTGCCCAATTTTCAATTTTACCACACGTAAGTTACTTGCCACTTAGGCGTGGATCGGCTTCGTGACTGTGCGTGTGGCCGTTTACTCACACCCAGAGCGGAACGATCTTAAACGTCGCCCCGCAAATGCTCAATCCATCGACCTTCACCCCCAATAGTGTCATCCACACTTGGAGCAGCGGTGGATGATAAGAGTCAGCAATGGTCGACTCTCTTTAGGCTGGCTTTCACTCTCTTAGTGGTGGCGGCATGTTGACTCTCTTCAAGACTCGAAGCGTGCGCTTGACGCTACATCGAGACAGATTTCAGATCCATTCTTTGAGTTTAACAGCTGTTTGGAACCGCATCGTAGCTTTGGGGCAGGGGAAACTCAGATACAGGGGATGTGGAAAACGTTGCTTCGTATTCAAAAGATCTATTCACATTTTACTGGCGGATCTTTGAAAGGGATCAGCAGTCCGACAGTGAAAACTTGATATGTCCGCATCGGCTTCGGGATATCTAATGCATAGCTCGTCCTTTTTCGCTATTACCGTGAACAGTCCGATCTAACGCAATCGCAATTTGGTATCCTAAACTCCAGCCAGATGAAATTTTTGCACTCAAAAGGACCTCATACCTCACAACAGTTTTATGGTGCTGCTCATTGTTTCTGGCGTCGATGGTATCTATATTTGACTTGCCACTCAGCTAAAGCGCTTTGCGTCCCGCGCATGATACTCAATCTCATCGAGAAAAATATGAGTTGTATTCTAATGAAGTGTACACGGGCTGATATTATATTGTCTTTTTCTCTGGCATCTTTACCGCCATCAAGACTGTGGCCTTTTCGTGGCGGTGTCAATTCCAATCAGAAGATCAAAATTGAGTTGGGGTAGAGTTTGTCGGGACATACACTGTGTCATTAGCAGCTCTCTCTTGCGCCGCGAGTTCTCCGCACACATCGGCTCAAAGCAGCTTCTACTATTTGAGCTCTACTCGAGGCACCAGCAATACCATCGCAATCAATTTCTGATAATCTCATGTCCTACACGGATTCTATCGCAGCTTTGTACCGGTGCCAGCCAGATTTTCATTTGCTGGTGATAGTGATTTTATGGGTCACCAAAGCAACACCAGATAAAAAGTGTACGACACCTATTTTTTACTTCAGGTGATTCATGGCTCGTCGCGTTTCAGCCACCTTATACCTAAAGTGGGGTCACATTTCAATATTCGGTCCAGGACTATGCAGAGTGCTATACTGTCAGAATCCTCAGACCTGATGTGAAGTCTTAAAACAACCTTTGATACGTCTGAGTGTCCTCGTCGCAAGACACACTGGTCTCATTATTGTATTTGGTATATCAAATGCCCCGCTTGCAGTCTTACGTCTTAAACAGACGCGCTTCGTATATTATTTAGCGGCACTACAATACTAATAATAACTTGATCAGGACTTTGACATCAATAACAAAGACACCTGGGCTGATAGCTCACCTCGTCCCATTAACCGCTAAGTCCCATTGACAGGACGCCAACGAGGTGCAATAGAACCAATTATTTCCCAGTAGGCATAGGGTGGCCTATTGAGATTATAATCTCCCCCATGAGGGGTCTGTTGTTCACTTTGCGTGAGGGTCTGAACCTTGAATCTCTATGCTGTGAGCGAAGGGAGCATACAAGGCTCGAATGCTTTGGGCTGTCTTGCGTGAAACATCTGCGAGTATCACGAAGCTACTCAATATAAAAAATATTACTCTTTTTCCACTCATAATTGCTGAAATTCATCTTCGTCGGTGCGCTCGTCGAGCTTCTATTATTTTATTTATAGCAGGCCCTGCCGTCGAGGCAGCAGTTATATTCCGCATTAAATGAGACACCCACAGCTTTCCTTAACTATTATTGCGGATTGTGAAGGCTCTCGATCGGACTACTCTGAGGGTGTTAACGATAACAGTAAAATGAAAATGATATTCGTTACCACCCTCAGAGTTGTTTAAACTCCATGGCGACAATTTGAGCTTCTGACTCCCAGGCAGTTCTTGTCTCCCTAAACAGGTATACAAGAATTCAAGTGCATCCGATACTCTCTATTCGACAATGCAATTACCGATATCTTCTGGCCTAAATTTTTCAACGGTGGAACTGCCTCCTTTACAAAGGCGTCGCTCGTGAGTGTACATTCTCGCGCGCCACCTTGTAGCCTGGAATTCGCACGAGCAAAGCGCCGTCGTTTTGTTTGGAAGAAAGATCACATCCAGATTATTTTCTACTTGCTGTAGTGGCCCTCATAGGCATGAAAAACGGCTCACGGTGAGACCACTCACCGCCCCCTGGCTGTGCACTCTTAGAGTTTACACACGAGCGCTTATCAGGGCTAAGGTCACCGCTTCTGACTCTTTGTCCGTAAGTTTCCTGATTTCATTGGAAGACATATCAGATAAACGCTTGTTAAGCTGGACATTTTTCTCGGATCTAGTATTCGAACATTCCATGATCCATCCTCGCCAATCATACAGTCTATGTACGACTCGGTCGCGAGGTTATCTACAAATGCTAGCAAGTGCAACGGGATTGCCGTGCACATTACAATCTTTGAGCCTCAGAGTTCGACAAATGCACAACGGGTTGACTTTGTGCGCTTCTACAAGGAGCGGAAATGACAGTCATTACGGTTCCAGCACATTTTGTTTGCTCTGTTTCAAGAGTAATTTTTCCACGCCAAATGATCAGATGTCTCGAAATCGACATCGAGAGTGCTAATTTTTGTATGTGGCACCTGTAAATTATAGGTGGCTCAATCTACCTGAGCAGCCAGAACGCTTCATACAATCACCTTTAATGGTAATGCAATATCAGCCAGCTGTTAATCCCAATGGCACTTGCTCAACGTCAGGGAATTTCATTTTTGGCTTAATTTATAAAACATCATGAAGCAATTAACTTGGTACGCCATCGTTGTCAGCATATTCGCGAGTTACTTTCTAATCTCCTATGAACAAATCCTTCGATGTTAGAAATTTGTCAATGCCCAATTTTTAATTATGAATACATTAAAATTACTTTTCAAGAAGGATAAAGCTACAATCATCAAACTCCCGCTGATCGCAACATCTCCGTGAGTTTTCCCGACTGAAACAGCGTCTGCACATCAGTACCACCACCGATAGATTGTTTCTTTATGAAAACGTTCGGCACCGTGCGTCGTCCTATACTTAATCAAAAAGATTATGAGTCATCATGATGCAAAAAAAGTATCGCTATTTCTTTCGCACCAGTTGCATTTGCTAATGCATTTTGAATTTCGGTACCCGAAGGTTTATCACTTTTTAAATCCAGCTCTACAACGTGATACTTGACGCCAACTTCGTCCAGCACGCCTTTAGCCTATCACAGCGATAGATAAGATTAGCCACATTTTGCTCTTGCTAGCATTTGTTTCTAAACTTTTATCTCCGATCTTACCATATCACAGTATGGACAATAACTTTTACTAAAGACCGTAACACCATTTTCTGTCGTCACTCGGTCAACAAAATCAGCCGCCGCCGCCTCAGATTCTTGTGAACTTGCTGCTCCCATCGAAATGATTGTGTTGATGTTCGTAACACCATTTTGCATCTTGGTGTGTTGATCCATCAATTTATAGCCTTCTTTTCATTGGCTGACTGAACCTCTCGCAGTAGTAAAAGCTGGTAGTTATCCCGCGAGACTCTTACCGCATCTCCCCAGCCAGTGACTCAGCAAGATATGGACGGCGACGACAAAGAATTATTGCGCGAGTGGCTTATTCGTAGTCTTGAGCCAGTGTGAGCTTTAATTAGCAATTATATCATGGAGTGATTTTGTTTTCTAAATGTTTTTGAATGAATATGCGCAGATGCGATGCCGACCCAGAGGTGCTGAGTAAGTACGTGCTAGCGCTAGTACAGAACGACCCGCAGAAACCAGGTTTA